TAGTGCCTGGTAGGGCTGCTGCAGCTCCGACCAGCGAGAGCTGAAGCAGCGGCGAAGCTGAAGCAGGGTGAGGCATCGCCTCACCCTGGGAAGTTGCAAAGGGGGGAAGGGAATGTCCCCTGTTTCCTAGCCAGGTAATTGAGGGGACACACAACAACCTGGAAAATCGGGTAACTTCCCACCCCAATACTGCGCTCTACAAGGATCTTAGCAAACGGGCACACCAGGAACTATATCCACACCTGGCCGGGATCCAGCCATGGAGCCTCCCTCGTTGCTAAGCGACAGCAGTCGCGATCTCCCGGCAAGGCAGCAGCGAGGCACCTGAGGGCGCCCGCCATTGCTGAGGCTTAAGTAGGATTAAAAGTCGGTCTGGGAAGCTCAACTGGGTGAGGATTGTCAGACACTCCCTAGTGAGATAAACCCAGTACCTCAGTTGAAAATGCAGAAATCACCTGTCTTCTGTGTGGCTCGCGCTGGGAGTTGGAGACTGGAGCTGTTCCTATTTGGCCATCTTGCTCCGCCCCCTCCTGGAAATTAATTTCAAATCTTGTCTAAAGTCTCTCCACCCTCAACAACAACTAAACAAACGTCCCTTGGCTCACGTATCAGATTTTTTCTCTTTTCGTTGGATATCTTTGATAAATTACCAGTTTCAGTTGCCACCAGAGAGTATTAATGAGCTGCCCATATATATGTAAACCAAGAAAATGCCAGTACCTGCATGCTCTAGTTTCTGCCAGTAAGACACAGACATAGGGACATTGAACACATATCAAACATTTCATAGTGCAAATGAGGATAATGGCCTATATATCAAGCTACTGAAGTTCAGGTTACTAATAAACCTGTAGGCTTGGAATCAATAAAAATGTAGGGTGAAACAGAAGTTTCTTTAAGGTTCTACTGATGAAGTCTAGAAAACAAATGTCTGATAATATGAGTAGAAATCCAATGCACTGTAAGCTGCATGCAAGCATTCGCTTTCATGAAGTGGTTATTGTTTCCGAGTTCTGCGACATAAGGATAACATAAAGGGATATTCCTCTGGAACCAGTGAGAATGGGTTGGGATCATACTATTAACAAGGGCTCTTTGTGAATACCAGTGATCTAAATCTGGTGTCCTTGTGTAACATGGAAGAAGCTCTAGACTCATGTATGGTACGTGGTCCACCCACCTGTATAGATAAGTGGACTTGTGGGTCTTCTTATGTGGGTAAAAATTTATGCAGTCCTGGGAATAGACTCAAATAAAGTACAAAACGGTCTGCTGGTAAGTAAAACTATTCTATAAAGTAGGGTATTCTGTTTATTCAGTGACTTGGTATGCTGAGTCCTGTAAATGTCTTTGTAAAACTGAAATTAATTTAGACTTTGATGAACTTAGGGTAATTAAAACATTAGCCAAATATGTTTTAGAAAAATATATTTACACCTACAAAGAACGAGATATCTGGATAAAAATATAAAAATGACAGTGTTTTTTAGAATAGAAACATGCCATATACTAAAGTGAAATATCTACTTGGTGCTTTAAGCCACACACAGAAAGCATTTTGAATTTCAAGTTACTAAATTTTGGAAAATACTCCTGCATTTTCACTGTGGTAAGCAAGGGCCAACCCCCAAGAGGTCAAAATACATCTTTGTTCAGTTGCTTCTATTTTTATTTGCTTTCTGGTCATTTAAAAAATAATTTAAATCTTATAGTGCTTCAATTATTTGTCTACAATATGACTTTATTAATTGTAGTCCTAATCACATGCAACAGGATCAGTCTCTCCGACACCTGTCAATATTACTCTGTGAAAATAGGAAATTACAAATTTGAATGATAGGGATCTAACCTAAACCCAGTGGCTATTGAGTATCCTGGAATTGCCTTGATTACTATTATTTTTTCGGTCCTTTATTTCCTTCTTGTGACTTAATTTTTGGTACCACACACTTGTGGCATAAGCTGGAATGGCCGAGTCAAACCTTGGAATCAGTAAATCATTTTATGTTCCCGATTTTATTGTCTATATTATTGTGGAATCATAATTTATTGGGTTTGCACTTTATTCCAAATTTATTTGCCCTAAGCATCAAAGAGCCAAACTTTCACTAACAACATGAGAATAGTATTGCTGATAACGCTAGTGACTTAAGTCATTTAAATATTATGGGAAAAAACCAACATTTTACTACAAAATATTCATTTTACTACGTAAAGCACAAATTTAATAAGATTCCAAATACAGTGCCACATGACTGTGGCTCTTTCCATCCATGATCTCCATACCCATTAAGAACTAAGGATAAAGCATTTCACATATATGATGAAAATTTCCTATAAGCTGATTATAGTGCTATAAAAACCTATTTAATTTTAAAAGATGTGCCAATGAGTGGTTTATGGTGGCCACATACAATGGTAGTGCGTGGATTAGTAAAATTCTACTAGAAAGAACATAGTTCTTTATGTCTTTTTGATAAGAAAAATTTCATCTTCAGTCCTGCATTCACCTATTTCTAACTTGGCTGGTTTTTTTAAAAGAGCCAGTTGGAAATGGTTATTTTAGCTCATTTGGTAGAAAGCTTTATTTTATACATACACAAACTATTTCTGAACATGCAAATAAAAAGCAGTTAACTAAAGGCAGCATTTAGAATATGATTTATTATAAATAACACAGTTGGGAAACTGTATTACTGGGACTCAACTTCTAAATGGATACAAGAAACAAGAATAAATGTTGTTATCATAGGGTTTGCTGTGAATAGGCCATCTTGAAAGTTTTGGCAAACTAATGTGAAAGCTCGAGCAATGCTGTATTTACACATCAGCAGCTAGGCTGATGGTAAGAGAGGAGGCACAAATGGATTTATTGATCTACCATGTGAAACATAATCTTACTAGACTGAGAGCATACTTGTATCCCTAACTGTGCCAGAATGAAAATTTCATGAGTTAACTCACTAATTTAAAGCAGATAAAATTACAATGGCATCATCTTGTGGTATGCCATAGACTCCCTTTTGTTCAAAATGACTTACATCCCTAAGTGTGCTAGTTGCTAACAGAGGCACCTCTTGTCATTTCCCAACGTTCAAGGAAAATTTCATGAGTTAACTCAGTAATTTAAAGCAGATAAAATTATAATGGCATCATCTTGTGGTATACCATAGACTCCCTTTTGTTCAAAATGTTCTGATTATATTTAACATTCCATTCGTTAATATGCAATGCAGCCTCTTTGGGGGCATGACTATATATACTTATCAGCACATAAATATTTTAATAATCCAATTTTGTTAAAGAAAGTGAATTAGAATGAAGTAATAAATCAACATCACTCAATTTAACACACAGCCTCCAGACAATAATATTCCTAACACATTTCAGGAGGAAGAAAAGATTAATCCTATGTTGGAAATCCTTGAATGAGATTCTATAATCTTAATTTCATTGATAGCAAGTTACTTCTTACTAACACTTACTTTCTTTATCTTCTTGAATAAATGACACTAAATAAATACAATGAGCAATTGAATACTATTTATCCTTCCTGCTTCAATTAAAGTCCAGTACATCTTATTTTGTCCTCTGAGGAATACAGATTAGCAGGTACTATATTCATTACTGATACAGGTGCTTAGGAAGCATACTGCCTTTCTTTTGATTCAATAAAAAAATTATTAGGATTTTTAATGATTAGTCATCTGTATTTAAGTGACTTTAAAATATGTATCTGGGAGGCCGAGGCAGGTGGGTTGCTTGAGCCTAGGAGATCAAGACCAGCCCATGCAACACAGTGAGACCCAGTCTCTACCAAAAAAAAAAGAAAAAAAAAAGAAAAAATTAGCCAGGCGTGGTGGTGCATGCCTGTAGTCCCAGCTACCCAGGAGGATGAGGTGGGAGGATTGTTTAAGCCTGGGAAGTCAAGGCTGCAGTGAGCCATGATTGCACCACTCCACTCTAGCCTGAGTGACAGAGCGAGACTCTGTTTCAAAAAACAAAGTACCTGAACCTTTGAAACAAATCCTATCTACCCAGAGAGGATCCGCTGGAATTTCAGGTATATGAACATACTTGGTAGCATGTTATTTAACTCTGGTACTCAAAAACTGAGGACTAAATTATTGTGATCTGAAATTGTAGTTCTTCAATCTTCAGGTATTTGATACATCTTCAGCTTTTGTACATTGCTTCCATTCAGTTATACAAACGTCCACTTGTCCATTTAGAAACTAAAGACCTACGGTATCACATAAAACTGATCATCAGTTGTTCTTTGGATGTAACACATTAGACTCGCTGTGGTCTACCCAAATGGAGAGTTCCTAGTAATAAAGGCTGCCAGAAACTTACCCATGCTTCAAGCTAATTCCTCCTCCAGTCCCAGTGACCCAGCCCAAATGGTAAAACTGTTTGCAAAGTTCTGGGATCAGGTATCTTGGATGCTCCTTGTCCTAAAAAGAAGGCAATGATTTTTAAAACAGACATCATTTTATCAAGTAACTATTCCAGCTGGTGTTTCTAATAAGAAGCTAATTTAAGACAGTTTAAGAAAACATACTATAGAAAGAGTACAGTGAGGGAAAAAACTATTACAGACATATTTTGTTTTTAATGTTTAGAAAGTGGATCTACTACATTATTTGGCAACCCGGGATTATTCAGTATAGGGCCATATAGTCCAACACTAAGGAACAGGCTGCAAAAACAAGGTGGGGAAATGCCCAGTATATATTACAAAGTATCAACTAAAATGGCTGAAAGAAAACAGAATCTCACGCTGAAGGAACAGTCTGTCCAGAACATTTATTTACACAAAGCACCTTATTTAACTAAGGCTTGATGATATATATATATGAGATATTATGATAGTTACACATTCAACACATACTCTGTGTGTTGGTTCAATTGCATTTTTATTCCAAAAAAGTCCTTTTTCCCATAATGATTTTAGTTTCTCTTATTGCAAAAGCAATATATACTCATTATAGAAAATAAAGTGAAGCAAATTACAAAAAACACTAAGAAACAATCTCAGTTAACACTTGCTTAACCCATTTTACAAAGATAGGTGTTTATGAGTGTGTGTATGTGTATGTATACAGACAGATAAATACCAAGCCTTATTTTTTTAAGTCCAATGATTACTTCTTTAGAAAAAAAAATCCACACCATTTTCTCCTGCTTTTTTGTGATTTAAATTAATGAAAACAAACAAAATAAATAAAGAAGAAATACAATGAATTCCATTTTGGGCAGTATGATATACAATCCTTATCTTGAAAATAAGTACAAATGCTGAACAAATTATTTTAAAAAACATTTCAAAACAAGTTGTTGAGCTGGCAAGAAAGTAAGGTTTCACAGGGACCATAAAAAATGAGAATGAGACTCTCACACTAATTAGAACGGCGATCATTAAAAAGTCAGGAAACGATAGATGCTAGAAAGGATGTGGAGAAATAGGAACGCTTTTACACCATTGGTGGGAGTGTAAATTAGTTCAACCATTGTGGAAGACATTGTGGTGACTCCTCAAGGATCTAGAACCAGAAATACCATTTGACCCAGCAATCCCATTACTGGGATTCTACTATAAAGACACACCATGTATGTTTACGCAGCACATTCACAGTAGCAAAGACTTGGATCCAACCCAAGCACCACAATGTTAGACTGAGATAAAGACAAATGTGTACATATACACCATGGAATATATGCAGCGCCTAAAAAAGGATGTTCACATCCTTTGTAAGGGACCACTGGATGAAGGTGCAAACCATTCTCAGCAAACTAACACAGGAACAGAAAACCAAACACCACATGTTATCACTCATAAGTGGGAGTTGGACAATGAGAACACATGGACACAAGGAAGGGAACATCACACACTGGGGCCAGTCAGGAGGTGGGCGGCTAGAGGAGGGATAGCATTAGGAGAAATACCTAATGTCGATGATGGGTTGAGGGGTGCAGCAAACCACCATGGCACAGGTATACCTATGTAACAAACCTGCACATTCTGCACATGGATCCCAGAACCTAAAAGTATAACAAAGCAACAACAACAACAACAAATGAGAATGAGACTACCTGGGAGAGAAGTAAGCTCCAAAGCCAGGATGTTCCTGAAGGTATTGCAAAACTCTGGTGACCTGGAGCTTCAATTCTGATAGCCATGTAAGCCACTAGAAGCATGAGATAAAACCCAGGCCCTGATCAATTCGAGAGAACCTAATGAAAAATCCCCACATAAACTGGAGACCCCAATGAGGTCCACCTTCAAGGTAACAGTGAACAAAACAAGATTCACTGTGGAGAAAATCACAACAAGGAAGCATGCCTTTACAGGTCCTGTCACTGGGTAAAGCGGGAAAAACATCTCTGAGTTGAAAAAGGGATCATTATTTAACAGGCTGAATTCTCAGCTACTTAACTGAATACTTGAAATTGTGGTGTTTTTCCCCAGATTCAGTGCTAATGTTCTACTTACTCATTTTAAGTATTACAAATGATGACTGATGGAGTAACCTTCAAAATATAAAATTAGTAACATGAGAACCTAGAAATTGCTAAAAGTTCTGATTCAACTTAGACTTGGAGTTAGCTGACTTAAAAGTCAAATCCACATTACTGGATTTATTGCTTACACGACTTTGGGTGTCAGTTTACTTATCCCTACAATGAAAATGCTGTGACGATTAAAATGAGCTACAATGGACATAACGCTATCAGCACAATATCTGACACCATCAATGTCAGTTTCCTTCTCATTTTAAAGAGCTGAAAATTCTTGAATTAAAATAGCAGATTATAGGAATTATTAAGAAATTACTTTAGACAGAGAGGGTAAGGTTGGTAAGGTTTTGTTTTCTTTTAATAATGCAGCTTGGTAAGGTTTGTTTTTTTTCTTTTAATAATGTAGCTCCGAAAATATTTCTTTTCTAGCAGAAGAGTGGCTTAAAGGGTCAGGCTGGCAAGCTTTGATATGCAAATGCCAGCCATTAGAAACTGGGTCCATCCAATATGGTGATTCCTACCTTCTTCTTGTCACCATGTGTGCCAAGCACCATAGTCACCCCAGATATCTTCATGTGTGCAGAACATCATGGTGGCCTGTATTTGAATATTAAAAGGCTAGTTTTTGCGTGGGCTACATGAATGACATATCTGGTCAAACCAATCCCCTGGGCCCTATGGAAATCAGACACCACCTCCTCCAGCCTCCTAATATAACCCAGTGTTTTCCGCTGCACGTGGGGTTTTCTCTCTCTGCTTGGAGCCACCCTCCTCTCTGTACAGGGGAGCTTCTTTCTTGCCTATTAAACTCTCCATTCCTTATAGCCACTCCACGGATGTCCGTGTCATTTATCTAAATTGGTGCGAGACAAAGGGCCCTGGTGTTCCCTCAGTCATCGGAGTCGTATCATTTTGGTGCACTGGCCGGGAATCTGAGGTACAACATTCATCGGAGTGGTGACTATAGGAGCAAACCTAAAATCTGTTCTATCATTCTGAGGGGCTCTTGGCCTCTATTTTAAAATCAAATCAAATCAATCAACAGACATCCTTCAGCTAGATAAAAATACGCTTATCATGACTGCCATTCTAAAGCCTGGGATGTTAAGCTTCCAGGTGAGAACACGGAGAACCCCCCAATACCCACGGGTCATTGGGAATGTTGGCCGTGTTTCGAATCAGTTTCCTTTCATGGGGAAACCTTACCATCGGGTGAGGCTGGGAAAAGTTCTGAGGCAACTGCAAATTTCTGGCCAGGGCACACCCTGGCGTTATTCAAAGGCCTCTGGATTGGACCCAGCCTCCAACAGCCCATTTCGGGTTTTGGCAGAGAATCCCCAGCTATCCTGTCACAAAACTTTCCTTCTTTTTCTATCCACGGTCTCTTTCTCTCTCTCTGTGTAGAATGTGCGGGAATTTAGTAACCAGGAGTTTAGCTCAGGAATGTTGTTGCAATCTTCTAGGAAAAGAGGGTTCCTTTCCTCGCCCTCCTCCCTACCCCCACCCAGAGTGAACGTCTCTCTCTCTCTCTCTCTCTCTCTGCCCTTGGTCTGGAGAGTGCAGGGCATTTCCAGGTCTCTCTACCGCTTCTCTAGCGAGCACATAGTATTTCTTTTCTTTTCTCTTTTTTTTTTTTTGAGGCGGAGTCTCACTCTATCACCCAGGCTGGAGTGCAGTAGCGCGATTTGGCTCACTGCAAGCTCCGCCTCCCGGGTTCACGCCATTCTCTTGCCTCAGCCTCGCGAGTAGCTGGGACTACAGGTACCCGCCACCGCGCCCAGCTAACTGTTTGCATTTTTAGTGGAGACGGGGTTTCACCGTGTTAGCCAGGATGGTCTCGATCTCCTGACCTCGTGATCCACCCGCCCCAGCCGCGAGCACATAGTATTTCTAAACCAACAGTGCCACCTAGTGGAAATAGAAATCCTCTTCATGAGGCACTTTTTTTTTTTTAAATGGTAACACTGCAGCTTCCTTTTGCACCACTAGAAATCGGGCTCTAAGCCTCTTCCGTGAACAGAAAAATTCTGCTTTCAACAGATAGGGGTTAAATGTCTTCTGTGTGGCCAAATTTTAGTCTCAATATTGTCCCATCAGCAGGAAAATGGTCATTTGGTTCCTACGTTCCTTAAAGGCACCTATTCTGTCTCCGATTAAGGTAGTACTTAACTAGTAAGGGGATTTTTAAGTCCAGAAGTTAACCGGAACCATTTTTCTAAGGGTAGATGCTTTAGCATGGGCCATAATAGCAGGATATAGAGTTCAATCTAGCACACCCCCTCCATTAAAGGGGCCTTGCCCCATTACCTAGTTTTTCTTGAGATCCATTTCTTTTAGGGAGTTACACAGGTCACACAAGTCTAGGAGGTCGAAGGGAAATAATAAGCAGAGGACTAGGGCTGCTTGGGGAAGTGCAACTAGGCCCAAAAGTCTAGTTCCTCTGGTGCCATGGCTTGGAGGGTCACGCCTATAGTCATGGGCTGCACATTTAACAGGGAGGTGGGATCCAGGAACCAGGGAGGGAAAATAGTTGGGGGATGCTCCCACTGTTTTCTTCTCCACCCTGGGTCATATACAGAAAGGAAGGAGACTAAAGGGACACTTTTATTCTCACTTCTCTTTCTAAATGGGTAACAGATTGTCTTCAGCATGCAGTCCCCTGGAGTGGATTTTAAAACACTGGGACTGCTTGGACCTTGAGACTTTGAAGAAAAAGTGCCTCATAATCTATTGCACAAGGGCATGGCCTTCTTACTATCTTGAGGACAGACAAACCTGGCCTTCTTGGACGAGCCTTGATTTTAATATCATCCAACAGTTAGAGCTTTTCTGTAGACAGAAGGGCAAATGGACTGTGGTCCCGTATGTATAGACGTTCTTTGCCCTGTGAAACCCAGACCTTTACAAGTTCTACACAACTGACCCAGTTCCTTTACCAGCCATGGCAGGCAAGCCCATAGGCCTTCCCCAGTGCTAAAGCAGGTTCCTAAGGAGCAATCTGACACAGTTATTGAATGTCCCAACCCTTCCAGTCCCCTCCAATTGTACCATCAGCTCCTCCAGCTCCACCATCTCCAGTATATCCTACTCACCCCACTTCACTCTTACCTCTGCATGAAATGCTTGATGGGAATGGTGCCATGAGGGTTCAAGTTGCCTTTTCATTACAGGACCTTAAGCAAATAAAGGGAGACTTAGGCCGATTTTCTGACAACCCAGGTAGTTAGATAGAAATTTTCCAAAATTTAACTCAGGTATTTGACCTCACATAGAGGGATGTTATGTTGCTGCTATGTTAGACACTCATTGCAGCTGAAAAGCAGGCAGTTCTGCAGGCAGCAGAAAAATATGGAGATGAGTAACATGCCTCCTATAGCAGACCAAGGAGACAAAGAGGAGATAGGGAAGGTGAGGAAGAAGTGAAAACTCCATTCCCACTAGGAAGGGAAGCAGTTCTGGTAGACACCCCTGATTGGAACCCCAATAACTCAGGAGATGAATAGAAAAGGAAGCACCTTCAATGTGTGTATTAGAGGGCCCATGGAAAACCAGAGCCAAACCTCTCAATTACTCTAAACTGTCTATGATAGACTAAAGACCAGACGAGAATCCCATAGTCTTTATGGAAAGGCTGAGAGAGGCACTAATAAAACATACGTATATATCCCCTGATTCAGTCAAGGGACAGCTCATTCTCAAGGACAAGTTTATTACACAGGTAGCTCCCGATATTAAAAGGAAACTATAAAAGCAAGCTACAGGGCCAGATAGTACCCTAGAAAACCTCCTGAGAAAGCCACTTTGGTCTTTTACAATAGGGATCAGGAGGAAGCCCAATAAAAGGAAAGGAAATACAAGAAGACAACAGAGGTTCTAGTAGCAGTGGCGCAAACTTGCAAAGTCCAGGATCCCCTAGGTGCATCCACTAGTTTTTACTGATGTGGCAAGTCAGGGCATTTTAAGAAAGAATGTCCAGGCAGCAAGACAAAGCCACCTCGACCCTGTCCAGCCTGTGGCGGAGGCCACTGGAGACAGAACTGCCCCCAGAGATGGAGGTCACTGGGTTCAGAACCAGTCTCACAGATGGTCCAGCAGGACCGATGGGTCCCGGGGCTCAAATCCCTGGCCCCAGCAACTCAGACTACCACTACAGCACAGGAACCTCAGGTGATTCTGGAAATGGAAGGAAGGAAAGAAGGAAGGAAGGAAGGAAGGGAGGGAGGGAGGGAGGGAGGAAAGAAGAAAGGAAGAGAGGGAGGAACGAACGAACAAACGAACTCCTTCTGGATACTGGAGCCAGTCTCTCTCTTCTCCTCTCTAAACCAGGCCTCCCCTCTTCCCATAGTATGACTGTAAGGGGCGTCTCAGGAAAAACTCTAACCTGATATTTTTCTCAACCTCTTAACCTGCAGATGGGGGAACCTACTATTTACACATGCTTTTAAAATCAGGGCTGAAAGTCCTGCTCCTTTCTTAGGGAGATAGTCTAGCTTGCATGAGGGCCAGCATCTGCATTAGCCCCAGGACAAACTCTGTGTCTCCCCTTGATGGAAGCTAACATTAAACTACAACTGTGGGCAACTCAAGGAAGAATAGGTCGAGCTATAACCACTAGGCCAGTCCAGACCTATCTTAAGGATCTCACTTCTTTTCCTAACCAGAGACAGTATCCCCTAGGCCCAGAGGCTAGGAAAGGGCTAGAAGCCATTAATAATAACCTAAAGATGCAGGGCCTCACCTCCTCAAACCCTTTCATAGCCCCTGAAACACCCCAATATTAGGAGTGCAGAAACCCAATGGGGAATGGAGACTAATTCAGGACTTTTGCCTCATTAATAAAGCTGTAGTTCCAATCTATCCAGTGGTACCTAATCCCTATACCCCATTAACTCAAATACCAGAGGGAAATAAATGGTTTACAGCCCTAGATTTAAAGGATGCCTTTTTCTGCATACCATTACATCCTGATTCTCAATATCTGTTTGCCTTTGAAGATCCCTCTGGCCAGACTGCCCAGTTAACCCAGACAGTGTTGCCTCAGGGATTTTGAGATAGTCCTCATCTGTTTGGACAGACACTGTCACAAGACATTTCTGAGTTCTCTCATTCTCAAGTTAGGGTCTTGCATTAGTTGATGATATTCTGCTCCGTGCCCCAACTGAGGAAGCTTCTCAGGAAGGCACTGAAGCTCTTCTCAACTTCTTAGCTAACAGAGGACATAAGGTTTCAAAATGCAAGGTCCAGCTCTGCAAAACCTCAGTGAAGTACCTAGGATTAGTACTGTCCAAGGGGACCAGAGTATTAGGGGAAGAGAAGATTAAGCCTATTTCCTCCTTCCCTCGCCCCCAAACCCTCAAGCAACTAAGAGGATTTTGGGGCACTACAGGATTTTGTAGACTATGGATACCTGGGTATGGTGAAATAGCCCGTCCATTACATAACTTCATAAAAGAAGCTCAGGGAGCTAAAACTCATCTTTTAACCTGGGAACCTGAAGCTTAAAACACCTTCA